TACTTGCAGATACTCCAGTACTCAAACAAAACCTATACGCTGATAATTTGAAATTTTATTTTGCATCTATAAGACTTTTTTTTTTTTTTTTTTGATACAAGGTCTTGCTGTGTAGTACAGGTTGTCCTTTAACCTGTGGTAAACCTTCTGCCTCAGCCTCTATAGTGCTGCAATGACAGGCCAGGCATGTGCCATCATGCCTGACATTTTTCTTCCATTTTTTTATTTTATCCAGAAACAGTGTAGCCAGGCATGGTGGCACTTGGTAGGCTGAAGCAGGATCACTGTGAGCTCAATGCTGGCCTGAGCTACAAAGTGAGTTCAAGCTCAGCCTAAGCTGCATGGTGAAAGGAAAAAGAATAACAGTGCCACATACTATAGAGATACCTATACACCCATATCTAGCTGAAGTGCTTACCAAGTTAGTGACAGCAAGACTCCAGAGTTGTGGTTGTTTTTTTTGTTTTGTTTTTGTTTTTTTTCCGGAACCAGGGATTGAACTCAGGCCTTTGTGCTTGCCAGGGAAGCACTTATTCCACTGAGGCATCTCCCCGCCCCCAAGACTCTATCTCAAAACAAAAAATATAAGCGAATTAAAGCGCCTGCTTAGGCAGATGCCGGGACCAGGGTTTGATCCCTGGCGTGCTATGCGAGCCCTGCTCCTGGGCTCACTGAGATGGCCGACGGAGATGGGATTGAAGGCGCACACCTATAACCCAGCGCTGGGAGGCTGATAACAGGAGGATTATGATGAGTCCCATCTGTGTAGTGAGACACTGTACCAAATACATTTAAAAAAAAAGAACACATGAAATGCCCGAATATTCTTTACCCAATTTATCTATTGGTAAAAATTCACCCTCACTTGCTTTGTGTGGTATCCATCGATGTGTGTGGACACTGGTTCTTGAGAATTACATGTGTGCATAACACAATTTATTTTTTTTTTAAATTTTATTTGTGTGTGTGTGGCCAGCTCAGCCCACCAGGGGGCGGGGCTGGCTGGCATATGGCACTGGGGGATTGAACCACGGTCCCTGTGCTTTGCTAAGCTTGTTCTAAGTAGGTGCTTTAGACCACTGAGCCATCTCATCAGCCCCTCAATGAATTTAACTGTGACAGAATTCTACCAAGTAACCTGTTTTTAATGCCCTTCCTCAAGTTTCCCCTCCAGCACTGTGTTCAATCTAAGGATTAAGTGCTGCACTTCAATGTTGTCTTTTTGAGACAGGGCTTCATTATGCAGTCGGACCAGCCTTGAACTTGCACAATCCTCCCGCTTTAGCCTCCCACGTGCTGGGATTCCAGGCGCACAACATTGTGCCCAGCCATATCATGTTGTGTCTATGAAGTCCCACAATCTTACATATTGGCACAGTCATGTTGTGTGCCTATTGGTGTGGAGGCTCCTAAGGACTCTTCGTCACTCTTTGCCATTTATTTATTATTTTTGTTTTATTTTTAACTACTTGCCTTTTAGCAGAATGAGGCCCCTTCTGGGCTGTTTCTTGATGGTAAGATCAGTGTATCAAGCTTTTCTCTTTTTTGCTAAGATATTCCCTACAGGATATGGACTTCATATCAGACTACATTGATGAACACATAATTTCTATTAGAACAAATTTTAGGTTGGTTAAGACTGATGAGAGGTAGCAAATTAAAAATACAGGTCTCACTATAATAAAGTTGGGCTTTTTTAGGGCCAGCAAGATAGCTCAGCAGACTAAGTGCGTGCTTGGGCACACACAGGGACTGGGGTTTGAGCTTAAAACCAGGAAGTATGGGCTGGGGAGATAGCTCAGTAGAATAAGTGCTTGCCTGGCA